CACTGAAGGATATGAGTGGTGACTGTGGGTTGAATGGTGATTGAAGGTGCCATCAAAGGTAGATTAAAGTCAGGAGTATTGTGAGGGGAAATGGAGGACTAGCACAGCAAGAGCAGTTACTCCAGGGGCTCTCTGCTGCTTGTGCGTGCACAGCTGGGGCCTTGAAGGATGGGGGTTGTTTGGAAGAGATGAAAGGTCGTGTCAAGTTGATTTAACACCTACAAGTGCTATTGGTACGTTGCTTAGTCCCTAATCTGTAAGGCAGAGAACAAGAAGCTTGCAATATTGGCTCAGCTGAAAAATGTGGGTTCCACACCATGACTATCACCAGTTAAGAACATCTCTAAAAATAGAAATCTAGCCTGATGTATATGTTGAAAAGAAGCCTATCTTCACAATGAGATCCAGGCTTCTCTTCCATTATGATATATACTCAGAATATCCTGAAACTTAAATCAGTTCATAATCCCTGATGACACACACTTTTTTATGCATTTAATTTTCATTTTGTGGCACAAAGCTGAGTTCTTGAGTGTATTTTACACTACTGGGACAAGAAATGCAGTACAAAGAGCACCAGATACAGTAGTTCCCTGCAGTCTCATAAAGTTCTGTACAAAAAGGTACAAATACTGGAGGTATTAAAGTTGGAAAATTAAATGCAAAGTTCTTTGTTTTGAAGTTTGCAATGTGAAATAGCTCATGCTATATATAACACGTGAAGGAAAAACAGTCTGCTTTCAAAATGGCTGAAGTAGTCTGCCGGGAAAGAGAGAATTAGCAACTGGTGAAAGTAAGTGAATATTAAACCAGGAAATAATAAGAAATCTGAACATACATAAAAAGCTTAATCACAATCTATATATAGATTTTACATCTCAAGAAAATAATGTAACATACTGCTTCCCAAGGACATCTCCGACTCCCATAATAGCCTAGATTTGTACTAGAAATCAAGATTCTCTAACAGTTTATTCCTGGCTATAAAGTAAGTTGCCTCATTTGAAATATTACCATAATCCTCGTTTAAGCAATTCAAAGCTCTCATCTGAAAGAGAGTAGGAGCAGCGTTTTCACTGACGCCAGGAAGGTGACTGTCACCAGGCAGGAGGAGCACATGCCAAGCGCAATGTTCCTCATTAAACTGCACATCCGTAGTAAGCAGATTTCTGACCACAGCAATTTTCAAGTTTCAAAGACTAGAGAAAGAGGCCAATTAGTCCTCTCACCCTGCACTTCTGACTCGCTCCCTGGTTTATAGCAGTGAAGATGCCCTCCTCTTACAAAACAGTGATGGAAGAAGTCTGGAAAAAGTACTGACTGCTTCAGAAGTACACCACCTCTTCTCCTTGTTGAGCCTTTGGAGAGGCTGAATTTCTCCTTCGAAGTGTAAAAATTTTTCTGTAACTTTTATTTAATAAGAGATAAGGATTCTCAGCACTTATGGGACTGAGCCCTAGAACAGAGGTTACTTCATACAGTGGCAGGAAGGGTGTGCCCCGTTCTGCCTTACCTAGATATTTTGGGGGAGCTACGACAACAACATTACCGAAGTCAGAACAAATGTTATCCTCGTCAGCGAAAAATCCTGTTACTCTTAAGCAAATATTAAAACTGCTCTACAAAGTTATACCATACTGTGCAATGCTGGCTTGAACAGATTAAACCTAAGCAGGAGTAAGGCAGGAAAAAAAGGCTAAATCCCCTAGGATGGTCAGGGGAACACAACTGGCAAAAAGAAAGCTAAAAGGAAGCTTGGCAGGTATAATCCTGTGAAACTGAGCACATAAGGGCATATGTTTCCTGTCTATAAATACACCATGCATGCAAACGAGAACAGGAAAATGAAATTTAGGCTAAAGAACAGTGGTAGCACGAGAAAAAATATGATATAAAGCAGCCATTAATAAAATTATGCTAAAAGTTGCACAAGCCTTGGAGAGCAGTGCAGGTCTGGAATGCTCTTCCAGAGGAGCTACTTTTTACTGACTACTTTTAACATGGAGTTTGTTAAGTTTATGAAGGCAATTCCTGTGTACTGTGTAAAGTCATTGTCATCATAATAAGAACATACTAAATTTCAATACTCTATTTGTTTAGTGTCTTTGATCCAAAGCACTTATATAAAAAAGCAATAATGAAAATTCCTTTCAACCAGTACAATAAAAGTCATAATTCCTTGGGGCATTTCATTTTCTTTAGTAAAATGCAATTTGGACACGTTCCATTCAATATTTGCAGAAATGACAGAGCATCAGCCCTACGAATAATAGTAAATCTAGAGCATAAGATAAGCTATAGGTTATTGAAATGACGTGTTGCAAAGTTGGGATCCAGCCTTTGCGATGCTAAACTAGCAACAGCTGAGGGAATTTGTGACTCTTTGGCAAGTTTACAGGTCTCTTCAAATAACTGCCCTGGAAGTCATTGGATTCCAACTCTGTGAATCAACTGCTCGTGAAACTGAAATAAAACCGCTGCTTGGAGCTGGATTCTCGGAAGACCCCCAGCCAACAGACCTAGGGAGAGCTTGCAGGGTCCTTGTCATCAGTGGGAGAGTTTGCCACCCTTGCAGCACGCAACCTGATCGGAGTGCATGTGCTGCGCAAGCCCCACTCTTCCTTCCCGTATTGCTTTCATGGTGTTCCAATCCAACAGGCAGCCTGGTGCTGTGCTTTGGGTGGGTGTTTGTAGGTGTGTGAGAGTTTACATACATGCAGAATCACAGAATCACAGAATCACAGAATGGTAGGGGTTGCAGTGGGAATCTGGGACAAGACCATTGAATTTATGCCTGTGACCCAGCAGAGAACTTGAACCAGCCCTCCAGAAGTGAAAACCTTAGCAAAATGTTCCAAGTTTGGACACCTAATTTGAGTTCACAGAATCACAGAAAGTTAGGGGTTGGAAGGGACCTCTGGGGATCATCAAGTCCAGCCTCCCTGCCGAAGCAGGGTCACCTATAGCAGGCTGCACAGGACCTTGTCCAGGCGGGTCTTGAGTATCTCCAGAGAAGGAGACTCCACAGCCTCTCTGGGCAACCTGTTCC